CTCGCCTCAGTTTTTTTTTTTTTTTTCTGTGCGTCTTGCTCCCGCAAGTAAGACAGGTTTTTGCTGCCAACTTGGCCTCTTGATCGTCGCCAGCAGCTTGCAGGGCCAGTTGGTCCTATTGACGACGTTTCGAAGCAATGATTAACTGCGACTGCCTCACAGGTGATCCTCTGGATCAAGCTTCGCAAACTCCTCTTCCGTGTATCCGATGCCTCCAATGCAGACAAAACTGACAAAACCATTTCTCACGTTGAGCACCGCTCCACAGGTCCCGCGCTGTCCTTCAGAATCTGGAAATGCACCACCCTGGCAACGAAGCAGGTGTCAGTCGTTCAAGTAACACATGTTCATTGAAACTTTCAACATCAACTGGTGGCTCTGAACTTCAAGCCTCTCTCGCACTTTCGGTTTCAGATGCATCGTCAGTCACCTTGAATTTGCATGGCTTCCACAAGGGCTGAGTGTTGAAGATGCAACCGACTAAGTGTCAGGCCTGCAGACATGACGGAAGGCTCTCAGCGTCTTTGCCCTGTGACAGGAGTCTTTGCTTCATGCAGCCTACACTGCATTGGCATCGAAACTGACAGCTGTCTAAATCGCATGGTTTGGCTTTCTCGTGCGCGTGTACACAAACTTCGGCTGACCTTTCCCGTGTTCGTGGCCTGCGGTAGTGCCCAAACTTCCCGACATCCGAAACAAAACAGGCGGTGCTCTGAAGGACCCGGAATCCGGTCGATTGTCCCTGCTTCCAGAACACAGAGGTGTTCTCTCGCATGCCAATTGCTGCATTTGGCTTCAGCACATTTGAACTTCTCCATTGAGAGGGAAAAATACGCAAAAGTACCGGTGAGAGGCGGGCTCACCAGGATTGCCGAACATGGCCTGGTTTGACGAGGACTTGAACGTACATGAAAGGATTCACAGATATATGCCTGATTGACATCCGATTCGCTAACGCCGCTTGCTCTCTGACTGCGGCGTCAAAGACCAGACGGTGTGTGGTGGGCATGATCTCCCACGCACGCAGGCAGGTGGCATGGAATCAATGTCGAAGGCAGCCGACCTTCAAAGGAGGACTGGTTTGTGCCTGTGGAGTTGGCGCCGGTCAAAGAAGCGTCGGAAGTCTGCTAAGGCGACGCATGTGGAGCTGCAGGCATCAATATTGTTGCTGTTGCTGTTGCTGTTGCTGTTGCTGTTGCTGTTGCTGTTGCTGTTGCTGTTGCTGTTGCCGCTGCTGCTGTTGTTGTTGTTCCTCTTCGGCCCTGGCTGGACGAAGCCTGGACCATTGGCATGTTATTGCCACCCATATTATTGGCTGGCAAGGACGCAGCTGGGGTAGAAATCTCGTTTGCCGTCTCGGCCTGAGTAGTGCGCGAAGTTAAGTGGCTGTGTTGACGCACCTGCTCAAGGGTGCTGCGGGTGCAGCTGAACTGTTCCTCCACCAGACGGAGGTCCTGACATCACCATCGAATCCATCATAAGACCAGGCCTTTCCCATGCACTCGAGATGCCAAAGTTCAGTACTGCATGTTGCATTTCCCTGTTTCGATTCTGGCATTGACAGGGCGCCCCAGAAAAGGAAACACTGAACACCTGCGTACGAGTCCCTGCACCGTGGAATTCTCCTTGTCTCGACCCATTCTTCCCAAGTAGACTTTGCGGCCTGCGATCTCCCTTGTCCCTGCAACCGGCCTGAACCTGCACCAACCTTTCGTCTTTGTCTATTTAGTCTCGATGCCGCGCATGCACGAGTCAAAAGATCTGCACGCGGACAGGACTATTTAGTGGAGCCGTCTTCTGTCAGATATCTGATGCATGCTGCCTTTGGCCTTAATCTTCCCCGCCCCTCCGTGCATCCAGGCTCCCGTTGCCTCGGATCGAGCATCTGCCCATCGTATCGCGCGCAAGGTGTGCCAACGCTCCTGCGGGGGGCTGGGGGGGGGGGGGCACAATCGGGTGATGCTCTATTTGAAGTGTCCTCGACCCATCGATGCAATGCAGGGAAGCGTCGACTCTGCTCCTCCATGGCCACTGGACTGATTCCGATGGCTGCCATTGGCGCCCTACCAGTACTTCAGGGCATCCTTTGCGAAGCGGAGCATCGGCCAGGAAGGCCAGTGCTGGCCACGGCACTCCAAGCAAGCCAATGTAGCCAGCAAGGGCGCCTTCCAAGCCACAAAGCACACCCCCCCAAGCTTCAATCCAGTCAGTGTGCCCACCTCAGAGCAGCGCACTCTAGGTAGCGCCCTCTCGTGCTGTGCGAGGTACTGCACCACCTCCGCTTCGAGTCACTGAGCTGGAGTCGCTGGTGGCTCTCGCGCAGGCCTCCATGGACATTGGATACCTGCTCGCAGGATCTGCGCGTCTGAACACGTCTCAATTCCGAGTTTCAAGCTGAGCTGAGACGTGCCTGGGAAGAGTGCTCAGCAAGCTGTTCTGGCTCTCCTGGCAAGGACTCTGCTGCAAGAGGACTGCAGCTGAAGCCTGGGCTTCCAGCTCCATCGCTCCACTTGAACGAAGCATTTACAATCACCTGATCAGAGCTTCAGCGAAAATGTGCGGGGCAGTTCAGGATCGTGGTATGTAAGGACTTCGCTTCTACGATGTCGATGCTCGTGATTTCTGAGAGAGCCAATGCCTGTTTGCTGAAGGGTCCAGCCGACAGTCAGTCGTGCTACTCGTGGCCTGGCGATGTCCGCCCAGTTCGAAGAGCAGTCTGGCAACAATGCCCTTGGGCCTTGTGCAGACCAGCAGCTGCGCTGCCCGCTGTTGACATCAGTTTCGAGATATCCAGAGGTTCTGACGGCTCAGCAAGGACGTCGAAGAGCTTCGTCACCCCGGCAGCCTGTAAAGAGGCCGCTGTTGCCAATAACTCTACGCTTGCTTGCATGTTTGGATGCGGCTTTAGAACCTTTGTATGACATCAGGCCATTAAAGGAAGGCTTCCTGATTGAGACGTCTCACTGCCAACAGTTGGCATGTTGACTCCTCCAACATGGCAGCAGTCCTGTCCTCATCCATGGTCTCCTCGTTCGTCTCGGCTGCGGTAGCTCCAGCAGTGGATGAGCTTTCGAACCTGTGCTGCGCCACTAAAACAAACAACTTACCTGAAACACACCGCTGCTCAGCTTGGCATCCAGCGTCAGTGTCACAGCTTCACGCCGCCTCACGGCCTCAAGACTCAACAAGTCGAGTCCGAACAAGCTTCGGAAAGGAGTGCGTTAGCAAGCTACACGAGTTCACCAGCAGTGTTGCCACCAAGAAAGCCAGTGGCCTCCACAGAAGTCTTCTTGGGTTTTCGCGTGCCGGCATCCTGCGCAACTAGGGGCAACCCATAAAGAGCGCACAAGCAGCCATCATCAAGTAGCAGCCAGGGTATGATAGTGCTGCTGTCCCTCTTCTCGGGCGGCGGGATCCTACTCAACTACGGCAGGCCAGAATGCTAAGTCCTGCGAGGCCGAGTGCATGAGATCAGCCACTCTCGCCAGGTACTCCAAAAAGCGCAGGAGGTACCTGCTGGTACCACAATCAGACGGGACAACACAAAGACGCGGACTTCCCACACTTGGCACCTCGAGGAGCCTAAGCCTTCCGAGATCTGAACAGCATCCTCGCCTCAGGTTGTGATGGCCGAGACGTACCAACATCGGAGTTCAGCAGGGTCAAGGGTAACCCTCTTGCGCAAAAGCGGGTTGGTGGCTGAACGAAAAGGCAACGTTCGGGGGCATAGATTCGCAGTTGCTGCCTCAATGCTGAGCCTCTTCACTTCTTCTGAGTACTTAGACTTAGACGCTCCCATAACAAATTCCATCTAGTCTGCAAGAAGCTTGCACGAGTCTGAGGCGATGGCGGTCACCAGCTTCAGTTCCTGCCACCTGCGATGCATGCGATGCTGGAACTTCTCGAGCCAGACATGCGACTCTCAACCGGCGACAAGACTCTGCTCATTCCGATCTCGTTCAACCCCACAGATTCAGGTCAGATAGTCTGCTCCATCGTTGAAAAAGATGTTGCACTCCAGACTTCTTGCCGTGCTGACAAGGGGACGGGCCTTGGAACTGTCCTCCTCCTCTCGGTTCAGAGATGTAATGGCCGATGACAAGAAGTCCACCTTGTCAGCTAATTTTAACAAGTTGTCCCCATGATAGCCAGTGCTGCAACCATCAACATCACTTCGCCAAGTCTTTTTCAAGGCAGACAGTCACCGATCCCGCTCTCTTTGCGACGGGCAGCCCTAGCGGAGGTCAGATGCATCGAGCTTTTGTCGTTGCACCGCTTCACTGGTAAATTTGCGGTGGACGTCGACTTGCTGGTCCAGGCAAAACATCCTTGGCATCACCGTTTCAATTGACAGCCGAATCGCATTGCATGCAATCCAAGCGCAGGGCACAAGAACCATCCAGCTGTGGAGGAACACTTCCACCACGGTGTCTCAGCAAACATCGCCTCACAGCTGGCATTTCCGAAAGCATGGTAGCAACGAACACTTTAAAAAGCGGGCATGTACTGAGATGCCTGTGAGATGTGTCATCTTGCCCAGACCGACAAAGCCTTACGACACGACCTCCTTGGCTCACATAAACTTCTTTGAAGTGACCATGGCATGACATGTGTCACACTGCGAGAATGCTGGGTTTTACCAGGCGGCCCATCGTATCGTGGACCGTGCTCACTTGCAGAACTGCCGTTACGAATGCACCCGAGTCATCCCGTTGAGGATGCCCACGGTGCAGCAAGCGCTCAACAGCCTTACGCAAGAGACTCTTGCAATGCACATTGGGGAATTGGGGGCATGATTTCACTCGGAGTCGGAGCTGCTGCCTCAACGTCAGCATCCAGGGGCTTCGTCAGGGCTTGGAGTTCTGCCTCAATCTCTCTTGGGCCGGCTCAGGGCGGGAACAGCTACCTGACGTCTCTATTGTCCATTATACGTCTACGTTGCCTGGGAAAAGAACTTGCCGTAGTCGGGGCTATTTGGATCGGACACGCGCTGCAAAGCCGCAGCCAGTTGGCCCGAGTGACCATGCCTGAGAGCAGCAACCACCCTCACCCATCTCAGCAAGCTCAGCCTAGCACCACGACTTGACCTACTACCACCATCACCCTTGGCCGATTTGACTCCACGTTGCCGCACGGCACATTGCAGGGTCACCAGCTCCTCGATGTAGGAAGACTTGTTCGGCCATGCATTTCACGTGTCAACGACTGCTGCGATGTTGGAAAAACAGGCTGTTCTTTTGTTGGCTTTTAAGGATGGCTGCTCCTAGATGGATGTGGGACGCACTCTAGGCACAGCTCCCTGCCGGGCCCTGCCTTGTGCCAGCAAGCTGAGTGCGCTAGATTCACCAACAGGGATCAACAGGGATCATTTACTGAACCCACTGCTTGAACAACAGAGTTAAAAGTGTGTGGCGGCAGTGAGCATAGCACCCGACAGTTGTGCTGATGCACCGACATAGTCCAGTGTGCCGATGCGCCGCGGTCATCACGGAAGCGCCTCGTGCGCCGACTAATGCCGACTGCGGAGGCTGTGCCGCTTGTGCCGGCCGCGTGCACCCCGATTCGGAGAGAAAAAGACCGCGGTTGGCCGTCCCCGCAACCGACGGAAAAGAGCAGCCAGCCCTAACAAACACGAGTGCGCTCGACGAGACCCTAACCATAGACTGGAAATAAAGACCTGCGTGAACCATACCTACAAGACCCTGGCCCCAACACACACACACACACACACCATCAACGTTAAAACGAGACCCAGAAAACAATGAAAGCGAGAAACTAAATTTAAAGGGATGCACTCGGCAAGGACTCAGACAAAGACGCTCCTCTTCATCGACCGCCTCCTGAACAGAACCGCAGTGGGACTCTCAATCCCCGAGCAGTGAATGGCTTGGCAGGTTTTGGCTCCTCGGTCCACTCCGCATGTTGCTCTCGTTGCCGAAGTTGTTGCATCACCGTGCTCTTTGGTATAGCACTACCTTGAGCCATCGTAAGCAGGCTATGAACTAGCGACAAGTGTAGCAGACACTTCCACCCAGACGCAAGCCAGCAGCGGGAGTACCGCCAATAAGATCGCTTCCATGGAAGTCGTGCTGGCCAATCGCAGGGCTGGTGACGCGTGCAACTCTGCCATCGTCTGCGTATTGTTGCGACATGTGCCCGTGTTAAACTTGTTGCTAGACAAGCAACTCCTTGTTGTATGATGTCGTATGCAGGTGCTGCCCACTGTAAGCTTCATGGTGCTCTGCGTTTGATGCTAGTGCACGCGCGTCGTACGTCCTTTATTTATTCTTGCAGTTTCAGCTGCAACCGATGAACTCTCACACTGTCACTTAAGATCTCCTTAAAACACGTGCTCGTGCTTTTCAGGTACGTGCGCTCTTTCTGCAAAATCTGTCTTGCAAAACGTGCATGCGTGCATGTACCGAGTAGAGAGGCTAACACCTCCTGAGCCGAAAGCATCGGAACCGTGATGGCTCCCATCTCTGCCTTCAACACAGGGAGGGCCAGCTTGGTGTCTGGCAAGCGTTCTTTGCGAGGCTGACGTCTGTCCTGACTGCATGGCCGTCCAGCTCAACTGATACCGTTGGCTGCGGTCCTTTCTTGACCAAGTCCACGCTTTCCACCAGCGACAGGATCGCATGCCGCTGGGTATGCAAGCGATTGAGGTGGGACCTGGTCGCATACCATTTTATGAAATCTGATCGCCAGTTTCTTCAGTAACCCAGCAGTGCTGCCTTGCCCGTCCCTTTATTTCTCTGCCCTTGCTTCCGTCAGTCCGTCCCCTCTGTCTCTGTCTGTCTTTGTCTGTGTCTGGCTGTCTGTCTGCTTGGCTGCTTTGTCGTCTTTCCGTCTGCCTGTCGTTGCGTGTGTGGCTTGGTGGTGCTTACTTGGTTGCTTCATCGCGGCTCCGGCAAGTGTCATCAAATATAGGACACGGCACACGCAACGAAAACGAAGAGCCATTGCCCGCTCGTCTTGCTTCTACTCGTTCCAGGCAGGCCCGACGCGATTCAGGAAACGCGCAAACACTGGTCTACTCCCAAGTGACTCTGTTGTGAACATCTGTTGTGAAACACCCAATTGGCAGGAAATGCCGTCTGCAAAGCTTAGTTCTAGTGACGGTAAGCATCGTGCGAGTCACATCAGCCCGAGAATCTGAGGCATCGACTTCAGCAGAGCCGGCTCTGACGGCAGAGTTTCAATGCCCAGGATGATGGAAGCCAGGGAGGCTCGATCTGCCAAGAGCGATGGCAGCCGCAGGAGGAATCCAGCTGTGTCCGTCAGCCTCGTAGCTCTGGACGGACTTCAATCAGGACACAAAGCCGTTCCACCTTTCATGGAAAATTCGACTTCAACAGGGCTCTCTCGGAAACCTTGGGGGTCCAGCCCAAGTCTGGAAGAAGCTCCGCATGGCATCCGCGACGACCGGTTCAACGCCAGGGCCCACTTCCTACTGAAGCTTGCAATGAGAACGCAGGAAATGGAATCCTGCTTCACCGTGGCCGCCGTGCCCATGACATGTCTCGCCGTTTCGAACGCTGAAAGCAGGGCTCCTCGGCAACCAGCCAATGCGTTGCCTCACATCTCGTGGATGCAGGAGAGTTGCTGCTGTCTGAATGCGAGCTCTGCACAGATTGACAGTTTGGGAGCGTTGCTTTCTTGAGCAGGAATGTGCTCATCTGGCTGAATGGGGCTGCTGACACCTGCAGTGAAGTATAAGTTGCAGACATTTCGAGACGTCATCATGGCGTACGGCCCTTTGCAGTCCAAGGCTCTGCTAGATCGACGAGGACATAGAATGCAAGCAGCGGCCGTGATAGCCAACCTAGCCTGCACGTCTTAACAAATTATTCGCGATTGACTGTTGCCATCGATGGCTCGCAGCTTGGTCCTTCGTTTTCGATTGATTTGCAGCTTCCGTAATCTGCTTCATGGGCCATTCATCTGGTGGCTAGACTTGGGCTGCGCGAAGTTCCAGCCGCATTACACGACACCTCCCAAGAATGAGGCGCTGGCACATGCTGCGCCTCCGACGCACCTAGACGGAGACAGGGATTTGACGCGAGGCGTAAAGGCCGCCGACGGCCGCGGGGCCGCTGCGAGGGCAAATGCACAGTCCAGCCTTGAGCGGCGGGAAGTGTCTCAGCTAGCCTTGCCAAGCACGCCTCACAATTTGGCACAGCGAAGCCAGGGTCACACAGCCCCTCGAGAGTGTCAGCACAATGGAGTCGTGATCCCGGAAACCTCCAACTCTTCTTCCAGCTGCTGGTCCAGCCCCGATACATCGCTGGAAACCTGCTTACAAGTCCCATGCCGGTTCGTTCCTTTGCAGCAATGTCCAGACTCACAGTTGAGCTGCCTTGGACTCAGACTCCTCCTCTTCCTGCAAGAATCGACACTGCGACATACCACGACTCCACCACCACTCCGACTCCATCCCATGGGCTGCCTGCACAGCCGGCTTGCCTCTAGTCTCGAGCAACTGTCGCAGCTCCTTTCAGACGAATCCATGACAAACCCACGGATCCGATCGTGCCATCCATTTATCCTCTACAGCCGGCACGGTCGCACTGCTCTTGCCTTGAACTGTTCTGCAATCCGAACGGCCATTTCAACATGATCTCCTGAGCAAGTCACTCTTCTGCAGGGTCCGCTGCGCGACTGCTACATGCAGCCGCCATGGAAACCGCCTTGTAGGGCAGGGAAGTGGTTCAGTAGCTGCCAGCCTGTTGCAACCGTCTCCAGCACTTTTGCAACAAAAGACGAGCAATTTTGAGTTCCCCGCTCAGAGCATAGTCGTTCCTGACAGGTCGGGATATCAATCGGCTTGGATAGAGCCTTCACCACCCTAAGCTGACATACACCAGCATGCAGCGATTGTGCAACCAAGTCTCATCTTCAAGGAGCGCTGCAACAGCGTAGCCGGACCTATGCATCTGCAGCGAACCAAGAATTGTCGACAAGCTTCAAATCAGCATGCTACAGCATCTTCCTGCAGGAGCGCAGCATGCCAACATGCGAGGAATGAAGGTGGAGGGCAGAAGTGATAAGGGCACCTGGCACATAATGTCGGCCGATTTGCGAAGTACAAGTCTTACTTTTTGGACCTCCATGGGGGTGCAGAGCTGGCGCAACGGATGGAGCTCACCAGCAACCTCCCGAAAAGCCCAAGTGCCCCAAAGCAACGTGCCGGCGAAAGGTGGCCAGCCTCCAAGCCTGCGACTCCCTTCCGAGCAGCCCCTTCAGCAGCTGCACCTTCACAGGGCACCGTCAATATCTGCGCGTCTCGAAGCACAAGCAAGTTGGCCGTGCCTGCCTTGGAGGCCTCCAAGATTGTCCATGTCTCCAACGATGACCGCCCCCACCGCCGCAGCCCACTCCCGTGCGGTGCCCTGACAACTTTCTGCCGCTGTTAAAGCTAAAAGCTCTCCAACACTTGTAGACCACATCCGAACACACGGCTTAGTCTGGCTGGTGCCATCTGACTGATAGCTCGCCTCTGCTATGCCAAGATCCCCCGTGCGCTGCGAAGGTGCTAGCGACACGAAACCACCGGGGACCGCGAGCTGAGAATAGATGATGTAATCCTTCGCATTGGTGGTGATGTAAAGCCAATGCTGAAAAGAAAGCTTGCGAGAGTCCTTCAGGCATATGAAGATGCGCCAAATAGTCTCCTAGCCAGGGGTGCCATTTCTGGGTGCGCACAAGAGTTCGAGGGCATTGCACAAGGCCTGTGCAAAAAGCTGGAGCTGTTGGATCGTCTCAAGCTCAGCACTCGGTCCAGAAGCCTCAGACAAGAGCCAGACACTCCAAGCACAACTCAGCTAGCTCAGACAGAAATCGAACAGGCCGCGACTGCCAGGGGTTGAAGGTGATGTCGCAGAAGGACAAGCAATGAAAGCAATACGCCAGGCGGCACCTAACATACGAGCCAGTGTAATCAGCTCGGACAAGCGTTCAAACTCTCAGCTTTGTGCGAGAAAGTTTGCCGCATGGGCTGCATTGGGTGTGGTGCGAGATGACGAGAGGTGATGATGCCTCAAGACTTCGTGGTTCATTCACGACACATCGCGCAGCTCACCAGCATTATTTTCGATGCAACGAGACTGCCACTTGCCTGGCGAAGCAGAGGGAAGAGATGAACAAGAAGACAGAAACCTCAGCCAGCGTGTCACATCGCGTGACAAATTCACAAAGCAGCACTACGAAACCCTCAGACCCATTGACCACGCTGTCCGAGGTGGTCTTTAAGCAATCCGGAGTGCTGGGATGTACAGCATTTAGGGGACATCCCTGCCTTCATGTGGTCTCGTTGGATAGAGCTGATCAAACCTCAGCCGCTGTCTTGAACTTGTAATGAGGAAGTGACACGATGCACCCTGTGATAACATGTGCAAAGGCTGAAGCTGTCCAGCTCGTGGATGCCACCCTCGATGACCTGTGCCGCTGCAGGACACCACACAATTTCAGGTGCAGGCTTGAGGCCTTGTGGCCGGGCATTGCGCCTCCAGTCTCTGACCTCAGAAGCTTCAGAACAACGCAAGGTGGGGCATCTGTTGCGGTGCATCAAAGGCCAAAGTGATGTTACTGGATTTGAGGCCAAGACCCTCCCTCCACGCAGCTTTCAACAAGATACATCGCACACCGAACCTGCAGTTGCTCGGCTGCGGAGATGTTTTCAGTAATGGGGAACACTGTATTTGGACCAGGCACGGTGTAGTAGCACCGCGCCAGGTCTAGATCATAGGAATGCTCCAGGGCTGCTTGCGCCTTCAGAGCGTGCAGGCACGGGCACAGGAGTCATCAGACACAGCAGGCATTCAACGCCATAAGCGTCGGGAGAGATGAGGCATGACGAGCTGCAGGAAAGTTTTCGGGAGAATGTCGGCCTGTCGAAGCTGGGGCAGCGAATGCCTCGCGGGGATCCGAACACGCCAACATCGCATTGCCACACTGTGCCAAACTGCCACACTGCGCTGCTCTCCAGCTGGTCTTGCAAGCGCCGTCGAACTTGAGCTGCCAAGTAGCAAGGAGGAAAGCAGCGTGCGGCTGTCCACCAAAGGGAGGTTTGGACGCATGACATACAAAATGCCTTTGACTCAGGAGCAAGCTGCAAGGAAAGAGGCTCAACCGCAATGTGATTCGAGGCCACGAGTAAGCCCGGCACTGTGTGACGTGACTTGGTCCAGGACATCCGCTGCCTCAAGGTACAAGAATGTGTGAAGACAAAGCATCACGGTGCAGGGGAAGCCCTGAGCTCCGGGCAACCTCGACCTGCGACTCCACAGTCTCCTGCACCTTCCCACAGGAAGGCAGAAGGCACCCCGACACTCGACTCGACCGAGACGCTCTGGCTCTGCTCACAGGCCTCCGGCTCGACGGCCGGCGAGTCATTCCGGTCATCCTGAGCTCGCGTTAGGGAAAGGCACAAGCCACCTCGAGGCCTCAAGCCACCACCACCGTGGCGCCGCACCTCGCGAATCTCCTGCTCGCGGTGCTTGCGCCTCAGACTGGTTATGGAAATGCCATGAGCGAATTGTACAAGCCTCTGCATGCCGCTATCGTTCCATGCTCTTCTTGCCACCGAGCCTCTCCTTCAATCTCTTCTGCTGCTCTTGCCGAACCTCCAGTCTGGGACTGCAGTGACATGATGCATGCGATACAGAAGAGGTAAGTGTAGGATAACATGACTGGAACAACGAGGCAACTGTCCCTATTGTCTGCTGTGTCTCGCTGTGACAGTTGCCCAGCCCTCGCAAATTGCGCCTGTCTCCTTTGCTGCCGCCTCACTGCCACTGCCAGCAGGCAACACACATGCACAGCTCTTGTAGCCCTGGCCGGACCCGAATGCTGTGCTTGTACTGTGGGGCCCAGGCTGGGAAGGTACAGAGGCAGCCTGAACATATCTCCGGACTCACACATGTCACGCGTGCTGGTTCCACAGAAGCTTCCATTCAACCAGCACGCCTGCTCTACGACCACTTTAGAGATCCAGCCGGCAGCGCTGAGCCGATAGTTCAGCACCTGCTCGCTTACACTCGCGACTGCCACGAGATGATCAGCACGAGCGTGCCGTATGCAAAAGCCTCAACCCAGAAATCGACGAGGAGGTCGCCCACCTGGTGGCAGCAGATATGTCACCACACATAGGGTTGTTGCTGAGCATGTGTGGGAAGAATAGTTGCACATTACATTGGGACGACTTCTTGGTTGTCGACTTGGGCGCTTCGGTGTGGCAGACGCAGGATGTTTGTCAAAGCGTCTACAGTATGCGTTGGACCATGACGACCGGCCGTTCTCGTGTCCGTGTTCGCGCGTCTGGGTCTGTGTCTTTGTGGCTGCCGATCGGTCGTAGATGGCTGGGCTACTACGGCTACTACTGATTCAATACTGCGAAAACAATGGTATAGCTCGCAGATGCTCGCAGTCGTCGCCCCCCCGACGTCCCGACCTTGGTGCTGTCTCGCAGGGTTTCCTGCGCATAGCTCTTCCACAAGGTGTCGAGGAGCTGCTGGAGGCTTTCCACCTGCAAAAGGCGTCTGAAGTTCCCTGGCCTCAGCAGCCTTGGTACTTGTAGCACATGCTGCGAAACAACATGCGGCGCACGTCGCGGCGGAACTCCTCCCAGCAAAGCAGCACGACCTCGCTTCAGCAAAAGCTTGCTTGGACCGTGTCAAACTGTACGGTGCTTTTTTTCGGCTTTATGCTGAATGCAGAGGCCTGGTCGCATCCCACAGCCATGTCCGCGGCTCTGCTCCCTCTGGCCAGACTTCGCTAAGTTCGGCCCAAACGAGGGCATGATATTCATTCAACCACGTCAGCTCGGCTGGGGACAGAAGCGACACTTCCACAAGCTCCCGACACATGGGCACCAAAGTGAGGCACTCAAACTTCAGAAAATTAGCCATTTTGTAAGGCATCGTGGCAGGGACTGCCAGAATGTCCGACTCGATCCGCACCCCGAAGTCTCCATCCTTGTAACAACCTGGTTCGTCAGACAGGAGAGATCCAGCAACAATCGGCTGTAGAAACAGTCGCCGCCGCCTTTCACTCGCGAGAATCTGATCTCCAGGCACACTGCCGCCGCCGATCTGGGCAGGTCCTTCATGGACGTTCAGGTATGCGCCAATACCATGACCTGTGCCATGACCGTACTGCAGCCCATCTTGCCACAGCGGTCCCCGCGCGTACGCATCCAAGAGAAGGCCTGGAGTGCCTTCTGGGAAGACGGCTTTCGCCAAGGAGAGGTGGCCTTGCAGTACCCTCGTGTAGATGCGCTTCTGCTCAGCGCTCGGATTTCCGAAGTGCACTGTTCGGGTTACATCTGTCGTGCCGTCCTTATACTGCGCACCGGTGTCAATCAAATAAATTTCTGACTTCTGAAGAACTTTGGAGTTGTCACGTTCGGGCTGGTAGTGAACCATCGCTGAATTCGAACCAACGGATGAGATCGTGTGAAAGCTGTCGCCAACGTACAGCTGCTGCTTTCGGCGTAATTCCTGCATCATTTGGCAAACGTCGAATTCAGTTGGAGCGGTCTCATCCTGATTTGGTCTGCACAGGGTACGCCGAAGCTTCGCAAAAAGCTCACAAAGAGCAATGGAATCGCGCTTGCAAGCCCTTTTAATACCAGAGATCTCGACAGCGTTTTTGCTCGCCTTGAAGCGCTCGATGGGCGAGAGACCATGCACGCGTAGCTCTGGCTTCACCATGCTTAGAGTGGCCAAAGAACAGAAAGAGGAGTCAAGGAATACCTTGTCTTCCGGGCCTAACTCCTTGGGCAGCTCATCGAAGAAGCTCGTGTATGGCCTCACAGTCACCCCAGCTTCGGCGAGGCTCGCCTGGACTTCTGCACAAAGTCCCTTCCCGCCTCCGTCTTCCTCGACTCCCCGAAGAAAAAGCAGAACTCGAGCCGGAAAGATGGCAGCATACGAGAAGAATAGGGGGTTGTACTCAATATCAGAGCCTCTGAGGTTAAAAAGCCAAGCGATCTGGTCCAGCGCGCTCACGACGCACACGTTAGCACCCTCTTTGTCAATGGCTTCCCGCACTCTTCGAATCTTTTGCGGCACTGATTCACCGGCCAAATCGAGTGGATGTAGTTCCACTGGATTACAAGGGTCGTCTGGCCGTGTTGTCCAGATGGCATCGACGAGGTTTGCCTTTACTTCTTTCAAGAAGACATGAGATCCCCACTTCGACGTCCATTCCTTCGCAACTTCTGCAGGTATAAATCGTGGATCGACTCCAACAGATTTGCCATTTAGATTGGACCGGACCCAGTCCGCCAGAGAGGGGACGGAAGCTTGGAACTGGCGCATTAGCACCCACTCTGTACCTCAGATGTTGGGAAATCACTTGAGATTCGGTCAGGGCTCCGGCTGCGGCCAAGCTGCCTGCCAGCTGCTTCTCTGCCTGGAGGAAGTAGCGGCTGTCCGTCCACAGCAAGGCCTGCTTTTCTGTCACGATGGCCGAACCTGTGCGACAAAAGTCATCGCCAGCATTGAAGTACAGAGAACAGCTGCCTGCCTGCACTGCCCGAGAAGCCCGTCAGAAAGCTCCGGCGCTCATCCGCAGACGCGACATACTCGGAGCCATGTGCATCCTCCGAATGGGCATGGACATGAGGAGAGAAACCGTAAGGGCGGAGACCAAAAGCTGTGCGGCTCATGTCTGTCAAAACCCATGTTGCAGGGGAGGTAAATGTACCCCGCTTGTTGCAAAATCTCTTTCATAGTTGGACTCCACCAGCTAGTATCCGTGTCAGGCCTAAGCATGCCTCAGCCCTGAAAATGATCCACTAGCGTCGCGGCGCCCTGCCTCGCTTGTGACAATATATGCGTCCAGCTCATGTGCCTTCAGCAAAGCGTGCAAGCCTTGCAGGCGGTCGGCGCTGCCTTTGGGATCGCAGTCATCGCAGAAAGGCTTGCCAGGACGGTAGCAGCACGGGCACTGCCTGGGCTGAGCATGACTGCGACTGCGATCATGGATGTCAGACGCAGCAACCAGTAGCGCACACAGTTTGGCAACGCGCCTGCTCGCCGACTCTAGTTGCTAAGTTTGAGTCGAAGTGCAGTTGGAAATGAGACGACAGGTCAAGCAGACCACGCCGGCGGCGTTTCGATGCGCTCTGTGCCATTGGACACAACTACCGGCTGGAAAACGGGAAGTTGCATCTTTGGGAACGATGCTCGCAATATGATTCGTAGTCGCAGAGACACGGACAGAAGTGACAAAGCTTGCTTTGGTCTTGGCATGTTACCATGAGTTTCTGCGTTGTGGCGCACTTTGAGCCGAATCAACACACTGCCACCAAACTTTCGCTGCACGCCTCCGCGAAGGGCTGACTTTATCCGGTCACTCCAAAGGCTCCAGCCAATGGCTTGAGCTGCGGGAAGGGGGCCAGTAGCCACGCAGACGTGCAGAAGTCACGTTCTTGGCACAGCAAACAAACAACAACGCTAGCATTTTCTGCAATGTGCGCAGATCACTGTGCAGCTGTAAGCCAAGTGCTCTTGATGAAGCCAGAGGCGGTCTCCATGACGTATTCTAAACCTGCTTCATCGGCTTAAGTTCGCACACTGGGCAATCGCAAGTCTCAGAGAAACGCGGATCGCAAAAAAAGCTGGCTTCAGATTGGTAGCAGTGGGTGCCAGCCACCCTGGTGAACTCGAAGTATGCATCCCAAAACGTGATGGGTGGCTCCTGCACGGCTATCATGCTATGTTTTGCCAGGCTCACCGTTCTGCCAGGTTTTGTGCTCAATTAGTGGCTGCTTAACCAGGTGTCAGCTCGGCTTCGCCCATGCTGCGTTTGAAAGTGGGTTCGGACTGGCTTCAATGTGGCGCAGTATTTTTACACTATTATTGGAATCTCAGCTTCGAGATTGGCTGAGTAGCTGCCCTGGCACTGGAACTCCTTGAAGCTGTACGTGGCAGGGTCCAGCAGCTGAAGCAACTCAAACGCCTGCAGTCTCAATCAGCCATGCCAGAATGGTCACAGCTGTGTCTGTAGCATGCTTGGGCTGCCACAGGTGGCAGGGATGCTTGCGAAGACTTTAGCCTCAGCAGCTTGTCCTGCGGCGACATGAACGGCTTGGCGCGTGGGAGCCAAAGTTCAAGAAGTTCTCAAGCGTTCCAGCCTCCAGGCTGCTGAACAGTCGCAGCGCAGAGTGCGAAGTGCCAGAAGTGTGCGCCAGGAAAGCCTTCTCCACACACCTAATTACCACCTTTGCGCCCAGCCAAGCTAGGCACCTCGTAGATCTTGGTTCGGTGCAGAAATGCCTGCGCGGCTTGGCAAATCCAGCTTCGCTGTCGGGAACCCTGAGCTTTTGGGCTTCGACGTTCCGGGCGAAATCCAGCGGAGCTTGGCTGTGCTCCTCAGGGTTCAGCAAAAGCCGCTCGGGCTGGGACCGGCCTGTTCGCATCTGGAACGTCTGCGCCTCCCATGCCTCTGCCAAGCTCCTTTCCCACAAGGTTCAAGTCGTTCAAGTTCAAGCCCAGGGAGCAAAACACCCTTGGAAGCCGAGGTCGGATCCGGTCGAGTCGAGCATGCGCTTCCACTGCCACATCTTGGTCGAGTCTGGGCCGTTCCTGCTGGCAAGCACAGAAGAGACGGCTCCGGTTCCACCATGAACTCCGGAGTTCTCAGAAGCCCACAAGCTTACCATCGGCCCCGGGAGGCGCATCGCCCCTGCGAGTCCACTGCTTCGCTCTAGAGCTTACGGCGTTTTCTTATGTTTTCTTAATACACTGGTCTGAGCCTGATCTGCTTGAGAAGGGAAGAGTAGTGCAAGGCTGAGGACCTGGATGAACCTGAGTGGACCAACGAGTGGCCAGGTGCCGAGCAGTGCTATGAAACCCCTTTACCATATCCGAGCGACTGCCAGCGATCGACTGTCCAGTCCTTGACAAGTGCCGGCACTGGAAGTGGAAGTATCTGAGAGCAAACCCGCACTCCCTATTTATAGAGGTGGCCTTTAGCGTGAGCAACTCAAGCTTGGACACAAGCTTCTCTGCAAAGCAGCAAGTTATGCCAGTCAAAAAATGCCCATCTGCTAGCATCCTCGTGCATTCGGCATTGCCCGGCCCGCTTGCATTGCAGAGGCCGTGACCCCGTGGAAGCTGACCCAAAGTGCGAAGAATGATGCCTCAAAGACTCGGAACGAGTGTTGAAGAATATGTAACGTAACAACGTAGTATCCTCACAACGCCCGTGCTGGCATGCTCGACCCCCCTGCCTGGCTTCCACTAAACGACGAAGATGGTCCCAGGGCTTCAGTGCGGCGCTGCCTGCGAAGCATCGCGGAGCAAGCTCATGAGGCCTGATCACCTGAGAACCCTGGCTCTCACGCCTTCGGCTGGCAGTGCCTGGGTGAAGCTTGCCGCCAGAGTACGCGAAGCCGCAGCAACGGCCTCGCTAGCACCGGTATTACGACTCATTGGGAGCAACCCGGCCGATGCGGCCAAAGCACAACCTCTCCGATATCGCATTCGCCCCCTGCGCCAGTCGACACCTCGGATGGCAGCCTAGATGTTGCAAAGAACCCGGCCAGGAAGCTCAAGCCACTGACGGTGCCATCGCCGGCCTGTCTGTGAACAGGCCAAGCCGTTGCAGCCAGCACAAGCTTCGACTGCCTCGATCCCCGGTACTGTAGACAGGCTTGCTGTCGAAGTAGCCATGGAAACGAGAGCCTGCTTGCCCGACAAATAAACGTGCGTCTCAACCTCAGGCCCTTCACGCTTTCTGCGTCAACACGTGGACAGATCACCTGCAAACGTCCATGTAGCGCCGGTGTTGGCCGCACGTCAGAGACAACGACGACCTGAGCCGGATTGAGACCGTGACGGCTGGGAGGAGATGCTTGTCATTTCTTGTCCTTGGGTTTCCTGGCGAAAATAGGAGTCTCCTCTATTTTTGGGGTGGCCTTGCGGGGCAACCCTGTCTTACGGGGAGCCGCGCTTAAGAACGAAGCAGACATCCTCTTCATCATCAGTTTACTATGGCGCTTCCATAGTTCATAACACGACTAGAAAAACGTTCATACCTTCAGCTTTAGCAAGAAGCCCTCTAATTCCTGCAAATTTGTATTACGGACATCTCACTATGAAAATCTGGATTTCTCCTATGTTTAGCTTTGCTCTAATGGTGTTCACCACGCAAAACGATGCTGGCACGAGGGGGCGTGTGAAAGCATTGAAGTTCCATGGTTGCACTTTAAAGCAAGCTAGCCTGGCACGGGAAGCCCCGCTCGGGAGCCTTTGGAGGGTCTCCGTTGGAAAGGATCCAAATGCAACTCCCCTGCAACACAATGCTCGCACGAACGAGGGGGACAGTATTAACATGGGAGGATGCGTTTGAAAGCAAGCTGGTGTAGGGCGCAACCGCCCCGCCCTCGCCTCCCTCCCCACCCACTCCCGCTCCCGACTTGCAGCACAATGCTTATAGAATGGGTTTGGAAAGGATTCACATGGGCTGTGCTTTGAAGCAAGCTTGCCCGGCTCTTGACAGTGGCTGTGTCGGAATTAAGCGTGGGCTGCTCACCGGTCAAGCTTCTGTGCCACGGGTTCTTCCTGACTACATTTCCGGGTGCCTTGGTATTGCAGCCTTGCAATATCGGTATAATCCTTGTTGTAAGGGTTTAAGTTTAAGAGTGAAATGGTTTAAGAGTTTAAGTTTAAGAGTTCAAAAATCACTCCGAATGTACGGCAAGTAAAACAAAGCCCTACAACAATTTCCCAAAATCACCCCCTCACATATGCACAGGTGAAGAGGGCAGTCAGACGTGGAAGGCCACAAAGGCGTTGAGGCCGGCCCTCTGGAAGGTTCCCCTAGAGATCCTGGAATCCTTGGTTTGAAAAACAGGAGAATAAAAGCTCGAAAAAAGCTACACAAAAGCTAAAAAAAAGCTGAATATAAAGCTAAAAAAAACTTAAAAAAAAGCTAGATAATATAAACGCTCGGTCCGAGGACTTCACCAAACGTCGGCTCTTGTTTAGCTGTTCTACGCCGGCTGCAAAACAGTGCAGAAATTTACTGAAACAAAAAGCTAAACAAACAATTGGGACTACCGGAGGAACCCCTGGAGCAAGGACAAGCTAATCCCGAAGCTGAACAGACAGGGAATCTGCTGGAACGGGGGGTCGGCGGGGGGCCACCCTCCCGCTGGGAGCGGGCACCGGGGAGGCATTTAGCTTTTATTCAGCTTTTATTTACCTTTTATTTACCTTTACCTCATTCTAGGGTTCAACTTTTATTTACTTTTTGGTTACCTTTTATTTGCCTTTTATTCAGTTCATAAGTCACCTTCGTGTCTAGGCAACCGTCTTTCCAACTGTAGTGTTAAGAGGGTTGAGGGTTCGGGGCCAAAGGCTTAGGACAACTTTTGAGCTCGAGCTTGCCTTTCTGGGTTAAACGATCAAACCATGGAGAGCAGGACAGTAATAAACAAAAATGATGGCTCATCATTCGTAATTTGTGATTAGTGAGGAGTGGCTGCTGATTCGCGACCGGTCTAGAGTCTAGCGCGCACCGCACCTTTCAGGCTTGATGACAACTCATGAGGGTTGCCCTGGCTCCGTCCTTCTATCTTCCACTTGGATCCTTTTGTGTCTGGCTGTTCTGCCTCCTTCCTTCCTTCCTTCTTTCCTTCGATCTTCCTTGCTTGCATTCCTTCTCATTCCTTTGTTTCTCCTTTGCTCGCTTCTTCCTTCCTTCCATTCTTCCTTCGTTTCGGCCCTCCTTTCTACCCACCCCAGAAACAGCCAACAAAAAACTCTTAACCTTGAGAAGGTCACGGTGTCTTCCCGGTAAATGCTCAGACGAGAGCCAGCAGAACGCTAAGCAGCTCAAGCCTCAGCCAGCACAACCGACAGACATGAGAAGCCGAAGCATCAAAAGCATGTGCTGAGGCCTGGACAGAGACTGGGGGCAGCCAACAGCATCGTTGACCTGTTGGGGGGGGGGGGGGGGGGGNNGGGGGGGGGGGGGGTGGACAGCCTGGTTTACAACAGACTCTTGACTCTTCAACGAACACGCGCAGCTTGCAAAAGACACTTCAGCAGCTACGGTGCTTACCACCCCAAGACTTGTCACTATCGTCTTGAAGCACCAAGGCTGGCAATAGAGCTGCAACCAGCAAAGCAGGTTTCAACCAATACGGCACAACGTACCTCCTCGAAAGATCTCTTCAACTGCCTTGAAAGATGATTCTGGCCTCTATGAACTTCAAGTATCGCCAAGCATCAGACTTGAACGACTGCAGAAGCCTGCTTGGGTCACTTCACATGCAAGATAATCATGCCGCCTTGGCTAAGATCCGGACGCATCTGCAGTTAGGCCCAGATACCTTAAGAGCGTTTACGAGGCGAGGTAAGTGGAACTCGTGAAAGGGAGTGCGTTTGGCGAAGCTTGAAGTTCCTGCTCGCCTGATCTTGGCCAGGATGCATTTGTTGAATGCGTCTTGCAGTGGGTAGTGCCGCCGCACAGCCCTGATCAGGCACGGGCACCACGAACAAAGGCGTGCGCGTATTTTACAGCATGTGCAGCCCCAGCCGCCGGGGGTGAGAGCGAGAGGCAGATGCAACGACCCAGCAGCGGCTGGCTGCGACAGAGGTCGTAGAGCTGCTGCACAGCAGCCTTAGGCTTGGAGATTCCAGGCCCCTCCACCCGACTTTTCACCCGCCTTGCTGAGGCTCTTCGAAGCACTAAAGAGCTCGATTTGCTCTTGTCGCTGGATCGTATGACCTCGACATTTGCTTCGTCCAAACTCGCCCGTAGTTACCGTAGTCACGATTCTGAGTTCGCAGCTTGTCAGGAAGTTCACGAAAGGAGACACCTGGCGCCATCGGCCAAGAGGGAGGGAGGACCTCATGCCACCCACGCCTGGTTGGTGACTTGTAGCAAAGAAAGCGCTGGCAGCCTGGAAGCTGAGAATGGGCTCGGGAATTCGGGTGTGGGCTTTTCGCGGCTCCCGGCTTGAAAGTGGCAGGCACTTGCAGCTCCGCGGGTTCGTCGACCTGACGCAAGGCAAGCTGCAAAGAAGCAGCAAACAACGGGAATCAAGTCTCTCCAGCTGCCTCATCCACGCTGGTGGCGCAAAGGAGGCCGGCATGATACCTCAAAGTCAAAAACAATTATGCAACTGCTGGCACCCAGCACCAACACTCAAGCTTGCGACTCTTCATGATGCCAACTGGATGCTCCCTGAGCTCACTTGCCACCTCAGCTGTCAGCACCTGCGAAGGACAGCTTTGATCTGGACGTATATATTCAGCAAATCTCTACAATCTGGCCTGGGAATAGATTGCAGCTCCATCCAAGAGCGCATGCGCAATGAGCACATCGAACTCCAGATGCTTCACCTTCAATGTGTCTTGCCACTGCTGCACGTGCACTGCAGAAGTGCGAATGCCAGAGCCGATTTTCTGGCGGTGCAGTCACCTAGCTTGCTTCGTGCAACTCATCACGTTCACACGCACATCCCAAGTCCAACAGGATAGAAATTGAATGCACGAACTTCATGCTGCTCCCGCTCGTCCACCGAAACAAAGGTCGTGCTGCACACAGAAAGGAATGAATACATGTGTATGTATATATATATATATATATACATTACTTGTATATACATATATATATATATATATGAATGCGGACCAGGCAACCAGCCAGCGAGGCAGTTGTGCGGGCTTGTTCAGGTGCTTTTGGATCAGATCCTGGAGTGTCTGGCATCATGAAGCTGTTGCACAACCATCGGGGTGTTGAATTCCTGGAAATCGATAAAGCAGAGCCAGGCGAGATGAGCAGAGGACGGAACCAAGACCTGCACAAGAAGCGAAAGAAGCGAATCGACGAAGGGCTGACCCCTTCCGGTTCCAACCCTGCTCAGGTACCGACCGAGCACAGCCAATGCTTTGGAGGACCGTACCTCTCTGAGCGGGTGCCAGCGGCAGAGCGCACAGGACGGATAGATGAGGATGGGCTCACTCACGGGCTAGCTTTTTAAAAGAGGTATTGTGAGTAGCTGCAGGTCGTTGCATTGGCGATGCGGGGCGGTATGCCAAGCTGGCTGCAGCACCAGCAGCATGCCCATTCGGCATGCGAGAGGAAAGCTTCAAAGAGCTTGGAATCCACTCCAAATGAAAAATTATCAGATTGAGACAGAGCTCGCAAGACACGACATCAACGAGTGCTGCAATTATGCAAAGCTGTGATCTGTTAGTAGGCTCTTCGCACGATGTCGGTAACGTCAGAGCTTTGAGGATTGCATCAGAGCCACGTTGCCCCGATGCAGTCGCCAGGTATGTTCATCTTGAGTGAAACTTCAATCGAGAGACCAAGAGCAGGCTTCCAGTGGCGGCCCAGGCTCATTCCATGTCTACGATTCGACAATGGTGCCAGAGCCTCTATGCTGCACAGCTTGATCCGAATTTCGGTGAAACTTCTTCGCGACACGAGTTGTGAGTTTCCCCACAATTCTGTCTTGAGTGCTGCTGGACTTGTGCAAACAGCGACCAGCTTTCCTGGGCAGAATCCTGTGCCAGGCTCTCAGCCCCATATCTTTCGCACGAGACACTTCTCTATGCGCTTCTCAGGCTCATCACCATCCCAATACTGGATTAGAACCTTGCTGTGCCAGGATACATCTTTACAGGCACTTGACACTGCAAAAACACAAGCAGGTCTGCCAAGCGAAGCGAGGCATGCACATCATCTTGCTCTTCAGGAGTGTCCTTGACTTGGGCTACCTAAAGGATCTAAAGCTTGGCAGCTGCGAGTCTGCAGAGGTCCTCCAAAACAGTTGCTCGCAATGGCTGGACCTGGACGGGCTGACCCAGTCTTCCTCTCACGCGCAGGCATGTCACAAAGCTGCACGACACTGCCTCACCAGGCAAGAAAACCCACACATCCTGCAATGATGGATCGGGCTGGTTGATGCGAAGACCCACACAGCATGGAAGAACCAGCACCTCCCTTTCCTCGAAGGAATCTTTCTTCAGCTCCTGGTCACAGGTTTCCCAAGCCAGGGCTGCAACGTTTGCGTGGCTTTACCAGTTCTTGACTGAAGCTTGAAGTGTCCTGCACAATCCCAAGCCTTTTCGCCAGAATGCAGTAAGCTCCACTGGACCTCGTGCAAACAAGGCTCCGTTCAAGCCTTTGCTCGGCGAGTTGAGCTGAGGTCCTCACCCTCGCTCTTGTGACAAGGTTATCAAGTCCTGCTCAGCTGGGGATCAGACTTCCAGCCCTGCTTGCGGCTTGCTCCAGCTCAAAACGGAGTCCTTTCCCGCTTTGTTTTCCCAGCTCGACCATACCCGAACGGGCAGCCTGAGCTTGGATTTGGGCACATGCCGCACGGTGACGACCTCAACCATCTTTCAACTGCCTGCCGGCTGCCTGCCTGTTGTGGAAACACCCTTTCAAACAATCACATGAAGTGCAACCAGCTCACTGCGCCAGCACGTCATCCAGCTCCTGCATCTTGTTCTGAACCTTGCCACGAGGCCCGAATCCGGGCCGACTGTTGCCGAACGCACGCTCGTCCAAATTCCGCCACCGAGAGCCCAGCCACATTTCGGAAAGCCTTCATGAACAACAAGACAGCATACTCATTCAACACAATGCTCTTTGTGGCACTCTTGCAATGCTTGCATGGCAGTCCTCTTTCTTCAATGCATCAACTTCCTCCTGTGAGAGAGAAATCTCAGGCTCCTCTAGCTCCTCGCCCTCCTTTCAGGCTTTCAGGTAGGCCGTCCGCTGCGTGCTGAATTTAAGGTCGCAGTGCATCACTTCAAAAGCTGCACTCCTCGGTTGCTTCCGACACCTGCCGCGTTACTTCTTTCGGCCTGGCTGCAAGGACTTTCGAGAAGATGCACGAAGCGGACGAAGCGTGTGCACTTCAGGGCAAGGAGTTTAAACGTCGTACGATGTCAAAACCGTTTGAAATCGTTTGACTCAAACGCTCTGTTCGATGAGGAACTGAAACTTTGGCACACCGCCCGCCTGTGAGCGTGCGAAACCTGCACGATGCCAGATCGCAGAGAGCAACGAATTGTCTGGGCTAGCCACCTTCTCCTCGACCCAGTTGGAGGGAAAATAATCCTCCGAATAATCTTCCTGGCACTCAATGGATCGAAGTCCAATGTCGCATTGCTGCATACACTGGTACTTGGTGCAACCACATTGTGTGCCTGAGGATCCACATTGTTGCAGTTGGTCAGAGCCACCAGGTGCGAAGTCTCCTCGAAATTTCCAAATTGATCCGGAAGCTCCAAGCAAGTCACTAAGCCGGCACCTCGCCATCCACGCCGACCTTGAAAAGCAGAGAAGCAGAAAGCAGTAAAGAAAGTGGCCAAACACGCGGCGCCTCGGCTTCCGTCTCGTCCTCGTCGTCCTCGTCCAAAGCCACCGAGGACGGCCGGCTGGATGCGGAGGCGGCGGACGGGGCGGACGCGGCGGAGGCGCGGCTCTTCTCCGAGCGAAGCGCCGACCGCGAGGCTGGTGAGGCATCGGAGGTACCTCTCAGACTTTCCCAGTGCAAAGGCGTGGCCGACCACCCTCGAAAGGTCACTGGCCATCGATGTGAGGAATTCCGACACCTGAATCGGGCATGCACATCTTGCTGTACTCATACCTGCCATACGCAGAAGTGTTTATGAGCTGGCCTGATCAGATTTCATTTCTCTGGCATAGCTTTGCCTCAGAAACACGGATTTCAGCATACAAGCGACAAGCAGCTAGGCCGATACCAATCGCCGAGTAGTCGACAGTGTCCTTCCGCAGTAATCGCGCCAGTCCTGAATGTCTCTCAGACCGTGCAAACTCTAAACCGCACTCTTCTAGGACGACTGATCGTGCGTTGCATTGCGCAATCGGCATGTCTGGAGATTACCCGTGTTTGCAGCTTAGGAATGCTTAGGAGTCACCAGGCCAGGGCGTGTTCGGTAGGTGAGAACACGTTCAGAAACACTATGCTTCAGCTATCACGTCTCAGGCCGGCAGAGATGTGAAGGCATTGCTGGCACCACTCCCTCTCCTGCCAACGCACCGTGTCATCCAGGCTCTCCAAGATAGTCTTGACGGCATCTACGTTGTCCTGTCAGGCAGAAAGCAAACCACTGCGCTCCACCTCACGCGCTAGCACTGACAGTGCACAAGGCGATGAATTTCCAAGTCTCATCCTGTTTTGAGGCTTCACTTGTGCTATCTTATGCTCCCCAGCTTCCGCAGGCAGTCGGGCAACGGTACATCACCGGGTGCGCTTCGGCGGCCTTCTTGACGTAATGGAAAGCATCCTTCTTCTGTCCAGACAGCAGGATCTGTGCAGCCTGGCTGCAGGCAACTGCATCACGTTACCTATGTCCGAGTCAGCCAGCAGATTCACCCCGCCTGTGCTTTCCTGTCATCATCTGTCCTTGACTGCAGTTCGACAAGCTTGGCCTGGCAGACAAGCCAAAAGCAGCAGTGACCAGAACAACGACGATAAAAACGAAAGTGAAGCCAGGCAAGGACGGTGCTTCCATGAAAACTACCCTCCTTTTTCCGGCACGCTTCAGATGTAAATTGATGTGACAGGAGTCCCGGGATTCGAGGAGTCAACCTGTCGTGCCGGAACGGAAGCCTGACAGGAGCATCTGCCCAGAGCACTTTGACAGCATGACATGAAGTTACAATGCTATCAGTGGCCCTCGCCTGCGACGCAGCCTCCACATCCATGGTGTCTCGAGGGTTATCGGCGGGTGGCTTGTTACCCGACCTGGCCGCTCTTCTGTCGTTGTTTCCCACGTTAAACACAAGTACAGCCAGCATTAACGGAGGATAACAAAGCGCACGCGCTAAGTCAGCTGCCAGCCATACCCCGGGCACCTCCCACGGGCACGACAACAGTTTGCCAACATGATAACTCTGAGCGCATTTGCATATTATTGGTTCGTGCCTTCGTAGAAAAGGTCCCTTCGCTTGAAGCTCTTTTGAGAGCATCAGATTTGGCAGCTTGGCGGCTTGCTCGGCGATAGCAGCGCGGTAGTGCCTGAACAATTGGCAGTGCAGCCATCTCTGCCATGGCAACTCAAACCTCATAACTCGTAGTTCTCTGGAGCCTCATCTCCAGGTTGCTGGTGGGCATGATGGCGTGTCGGAGCTTCACCTTAACGTTGCCTCGGTGAGCAACTTGTGCGTAGAGCCCAATACCCTGAGCCACTGCTACAAATACGCATGAAAAAGGAGTCGTATCGTGCCCAGCTTCTGATTGCTCGTAACCACAAATTCTTCTCTGCAACACCTTGGCCATGCCCGTCAAAGTCCCGGCTTCCACGCGCTGAGGGGCACTATTCGTCTTATGGCACTCGCCAGACACAAATCGGCTTCTTAAGTCCTCTTGGCGTATTGAGGGTCTGAGCCAAACGAGAGGCTTTACTAGGAAGAGCTTCGAAGACAACCTTGGCCTCCCGCGGACTGTCATGCCCACAGGGATACGAAGATACAAGAAGCTTGCAGGTTGAAGGTCCTGGACTCCTGGACATAAATTTGCGGCTTGCAGTTCGGGGCAGCATTAGAGTTCAGGGGTCTATAACCGATAGCATTAGTCGGATCGCGGACCTGAGCTGGAATCTTGTCCCTTTGGACACGTCAAGCTACAAAGGAAATTCAATTCGACCCTGCCCGTGCCATGGGGACCAAATATTGCGAGGTCGGCTGAAGAATCTGAATCTGAATAACTCACGAAAATCGTCCCATCTCGATTCTGTCGGGGCAGGTGATTTCAGTTTCGAACCATGTTCCAAGCCTACATTGAACCCATCTGCAGATCAAGCTACTTCTGGCCGCAAAGTTCTGGTCGTTCAATGTGAAACAACTGCAGTCCACCCCAAGCCGCTCCTTAGTCAAGGACAGCTACTCGGCCATGTAGATCTTATACAATGGGAACAAACAGGGGCAGGTCAGACACAAGCGTTCCGAAGCCTGCATGTCTTGCAAGATCCGTACCACAGATTGACAGCCACACACAAGCATGTGTCTGACCGCACCGAGCATCGCTGATGTGGCAGATTGAATCAATGGTGAGTCTGGCCTGGGTACCGCCAAGCTGAAGGGTTACAACGAAAAGCAAGCGAAGGCTTGTATCAAACACAGCTCTTCGGGCATCCGAATCAGATAATCAGAGAGCCCCACAACCAATGCAGAGCAGGAATGGTCCTCGTACGCGATGAAGCCTTTGAAAAAACACAGCATAAGTTCTCTGTTGGTCAATTCGCCGGCAGACTGTCCGCCTGCAGTATCTTCGACTGGCCTCAGCTGCAACACCCTCGGCACAGTATTTACCCGATCTCTCAATCCTTGCTAAGGGGCGCATGGAGCTCGCAAAACACCGTTGTCAGGCCACTCCGGTCGAAGAGCAACATGTAGCCGGCCAGCAGACGTGTTTTCTTGCAGGGCGTGGGTGCTTCAGTCAATATGCAAGCAGGCAGCACGCTGAGCGCGACAGAATATGCAGACTAGTGCTTCAGAGGGCAGGGATCCGTAGGGCTGGGAAGATCGAATGGAGAACAACAACACGCCACCAAAGTTCGGCACGGATAATGGCTGCGCGAGATGCGGGATTCCTATAACTAGCACGAATTTAGTTGCTGTGCACACTGATAAATACGGTTCTGCTGCTCTTGCATGTGATATGATTCCAAGACGGTGGACAGATCTTGTGCAGTAGCAGGGGCTGTGTTGACGAGCGAAACCTAACATCCTAGACTCCTATAAACAATCATTAGGAGCGTGATATAGCGTGATGTGGCGGTGGTGCTTTAATGTACCGTACGGCTGAAGCCAAGTCTCTGTCCACTCCAGGCCAGGCACAGGCTCTGTGACCAGTCTGTGAACCGGAAATAGCGACACGGTCATCATGCCTCGGATGGAACAGAAATGTTGTGGGCTTGAGGCATGCTGCGCGTTCCAATGCATGGACAGATGCGCAAGGCTCGAGCTGCGGCAGCGACCCATTTCGCCCGCTCCTTAGCAGCGAGCTGCGGCCGGTGAGTCTCGCATCGACAGACACCACGACATGTTGCGACCAATTTGTGGAGATGAGCATCTTGTTCGCAGTCGGGTCCCGAAACAGCAAACAGCAGCGATTTTGCGTTGTGGAAATCCACGATCTGAGATCCACAGTCTTCCGTGCTAGCTGCCACGAGGTTCCTATTCCTCTGAGCTGCAGGTGGCATGAACAGGCACGGCTTCCGCCTAGAAATTTTAGCTTCTCAGAAGGTGGTGTTGCAGAAAGGTTCAAAGTGAAGCATGCTGGAAAGAGTGGTAGTTGGACTGCGAAGAATCCACTGCGTGAGTTTTGTGGCGGCACAGGGTCAGGGGATCGGACTCGAATGCCGCCTACGACTGGTCTGGACACATTCCACATCCCGCGATGTCCCACGTCCACCCCTGCCTTGAAGAGACGTGACCCAGGAAGGGACTCATCAGCCTGACGAGAGGGAGAGGTGCTTGCGGCTTATGGATTTCCCCTGCATCCGGAAAATGCCTCAACACTGTGAAGCCGACAGGCTTGGACGAGGCTGAAGGGGGACCATGCAAGCGAGGTCGTTGAGCACTCGTCCACATGTCCTTAACAAGTTGACTCGCCAGCAGTAGGCTTGCGTAAGCTGGGAGCAGCAGCTGCTGCTCGTGATTAGATCGTGGATCATGCCTTCTGCTTTTCTAGGCTCTGATGCCAATGCCATTGATGTGGATGGACAAAGTCACCTCGGAGTTTCTCTCCCTACATGTCTCGTCTGCTTCGGCCTTCGCTCTCTCCACCTGCACCACACGCTGCAAGGCCGACTCGTCGCCAGGCTGAGCTTGAAGATACCAAACGCTGCCGGTCCTTCCGAGCAACGACAGCTCTCTGCGACGCCTCCAAACTACTCGAATGCCTCAAGGCCGGCTCATGGAGGGTTGCTGTGGAGACGACCTTGTAGGAGCCCTGAGCATACAAGAAAGCGTTGCTCCGGCACTTTCAGAGAACCAGGCCGGCGAAAGAAAGGCCATGGGAGGGCTGTACGCCGAGCAGCTGGGGCTACCACGAGCTCGTTCAAGTCAAATTTGCAGTCTTCGCCCTCGGAATCTGAATCCAAGTCCTTCGCCTTCACACGAACGTCCTGCAGGCCAGCGCGCGCGACGAAATCATCAGGATTGCCGTGCCAAGCCGTCTAGGCTCCAAGATGCTCCAAGTCTATGACAAACCAAGAACCAGACAGCTTATGCAGCCGACCAGAAATCAGAATTGCAAGCCAAGAAGCCCCGCTTCAACCCGAGTCCATCGCCAACCAGTCAACCGGCCTACTTTCCAATGCTACGACCCGGGATCTTCAAGCCTGCAAGGTTCTAAAGTCTTCTTTCCGGTTGCTCACCTCTTGTTGACGGATATATGATGGAATCAGCTTCTCTTCGGAGCATCGACAACTCTACATCACACGAGCAATGCACTAGATGAAACGAATCTCGACAACTCTTTCCCTTCCGCTTCACTAATCGGTGGATCTTTTATTCGAGCAATGCCAGAAGCCCATCCACGGGGAAGGCAGGAAGACTTGCATGCCCGGATGGATGACCCCGGTGCATACCCAGAAGAAAGCTTGAGGTTGAGACTTGAGTTCACTGGCCCCCACCGTGAAACTCGGCAACCCTATTCAGCACTATTCATCAAGACCAGCACCCACCCCCAGGCCTCTCTATCATCCTCTCTATGATTCGACATAAAGGAATGGACACAACCCAACTCTCCAACATAAAGAACGAAGCCTGAACCACGGCTTGCGCCTGTTGAGGTTCCCGAATGTTACCGCGGGATGGCTTTCGCCAAGAGTTGTATTACCGTGCTCTTTCCTGCATCCTACAATTTCCAACAACTGTCAGTCCATGGAATCTTGCAGGGTCGGCTGAACCACAACTATCTCCACGGGGGAGAAGTCCTGGCCACCTCGCGAAGCACATCTTTGCCAGCTTCCACCATCTACTGAATCTGTGCGACGATTGTAGCAACAGGTAATCCCTTCCGCACACAGTCACACTGCCTTCTTCGCACTTGCAGAGGGCAAACATGGCACATCAGCCATGGATGCCGCGCGCTCTCCGTCGTCTGCTCCCATAGGAAGGAGCATTCCATATCTGGGCCATGCGCCACGACAGGCCGCGGCCGGATTTGCAGTTGAAAGAGGAGTCTTGCGTAATGCATGGTGCCCCGGTGAGGCCTGGTCTGGGAACTGTCGTGCAGCTTGGTTGTACAGTTTAGAACTCTTTAGCCACTTTAGCCTGCAGCGCATGGGTGCAGAGTTGGCTTTGCCCACAAGGAGGGCTGAGAGCTAGGCTAAGGGGTCCCGGGTCGTGTACTAATGTCTCATTCTCAAGCCGTCAGCTGCGATCAGCGTGGCGAAAGCAAGAAATGGAAGATGAAGCGTGGGGCCGTGCGGCCGTCCTTTCCGTGCGGCTGCCAGGGTTCCGCCGCGTTTCGCCGCACAGCCGGCCTCGGCCTTTGCAACGTCTTCGGCCTCGACCTCCGCCCTCCGCGCCGCTTCGACGGCCTGGCGGCATCTGAGCACCGCGATTGCGACATGGTCTGTAGGCAGAAGCCGGCCTGGGCCAGAGCATGCTCGTCGTTGGCCTGCACGTGCCACACAACAACGTGTCTTCTTTCGTGCGCTTCGTGCTCGTGAGCTCCGCGAAGCTCCGGCGCCTCCAAGGCCGCGTGGAGCTGCTCGAAGGCCGCTCGGCGCTCGCGCCTCGGCGGATAGGAACTGTGTGGTATGGGTGATGGTATGGAGGCGCCCTGTCGACTTGAAATGACCTACTGGAAGTGACTTGAAATGCACGAGATGGCCATGTCAGGTCCTGACAGCTGCTTGTTCTTCAGCTCGCGTTTCGCCTGGTGGCTTGGAAACAGCAGCCAGACAATGTCAGAACTGCAATCGGCCTCGCCAAGCAAAGACTCCACGGCGGAAATGGCATCTTTCAGTTGAGTCGAAGAAGATGACGAATCGATCATCGCCATCCTAGCCAGCACGTTGCGTGACCGGACAAGCCGGACTCCATGCACCTGGCTGCAGCCTAGTCGCTTCAAACGGTTTTCCGAGGAGGTCGCAAGCTCCGGCGTGGGAGACTGCGCAGCTTCCTGGTGGGTAACCCGGTCCGTGCCTCCTGATCTCCCTGCTCTCACGATGGCTCTGATTCAGATCTCAACACTTCCAAAGACACTTGGGAAGCCCAGGCAGCTCTGGTCTACACCCTGTCAGACTGATTGTGCTACCCGCCGGGATGGCGAAAGCACGTGATTGCTGTGCCACTGATCCTCCACGCTGCTGTGCTTGCTTGCGCTGCCTTTTGCTCGGCATTGATTCGTTCCTCATGTGCCATCCAGCATCCCACCCCCCCACAAGCTTGCTCGAGCAGCCCAGACACTCTGATGTGCACTTTGTCACAGAACCTGGCGTGATTTTGCTTTTGTTGTACCAGAGGTTCGGATGACAGTGTGAAAAAAGACTTCCTTCAAGGCGTTCCTGCCATCGCGGTGCGCTCTTCGATGCATTGCTGAGTTGGGACGAGTCCTGGGGCCTTTTTCTTGCCGTTGGGACTGCTAGGCCTCCTGGGCAAGTGAGGGCCCACGAGCGGGGTCCTCTCCCGTGCCAGCTCCAACGCCGCTGCACTCCCGAGCCCAGCGGCGGTTCTTTTCCTGATGGCGCTGCAGATTTTCATCGGAAGACCCTGGCGGAGAGGCCGGCCTCGGAGGCTTTCTGCTCATCCTCACGCAGCTTGCGCTGGACTTCTACCTGCATGAAATTGCACACGCTGCTGGTGCAGGAACTGTAACTCCAACCTCGCCATGGCTTCAACAAAGATGAGCAAAGCATCCGACATGTGGTAAAATTGCAAACCATGCGTGCATCCACTAGTCGATGTGAGGTACGAAAAGCTGTCGACAAGAGCAATAGCAACAATTGCAAGACAACAGGCAACACCAAGAGGTAGAGATCCTGGACAACTTTGTGCGGGCTGGCCAGCATTGAAAGCCGTTAAGAGCTAGGAAGGGTCATTTCCGAGTTCAACCTTAGCCTACACCCTATACCCCCCCCTACGCTTT